ATTGCACACAATTTGCACATGTATCAACTCCAAAACATCCTTCGCATGCCCACTGATTGCAATTTAAACATTTAAGCCAATCTTCACTTGCTTCTGCCCAAACAGCTGCACAAACACAACAAAAGTCTTTATTAGTGTTATTTTTTAGAATAAAACTTGAAGAACTTGGGTGATCAGAATCAGCTGAAAAAAAAGTTATTTTTGATTTGGTTTTAACTGATTTATCGTGATCCTTTTTTGACTTCTGTTTAACACTGACCACATTTTTTATTGCAGCCTTTTTAGCAGGAGGCTCTTTTATTAACTTAACATTACCTGGTGATGTAATAAGAGCAATGTGGCGTTTTGAATGAGTAGGTTTCCTTTTTTTTTCAGGAGAAGGTATAATAGTCCTTAAAATATATAAATTTTGGTCTCCCTGGTGAATTGCTGCTTTATTAAAAACCTCTGCTTTTTTATAATCGAAATCTTTTACTGGGTTTCTTAGGGGATGCAAACCACAATGGTAAAACGCATTAACAATCAATCCTCTTTTTGTAAGTATATTTGGCCATATTTTGTTAAAAATGTGAAAGTTGCAACGAGGCAAAGAAATATCATCATTTTCAGCTAAGTAATTAGACAAGGCTTCAAACCACATATGTTTAACTACTTTATTAACATGTGTGTCAAGTGGTTGAAGGCGATGTGTACTATGAGTTGGAATGCATATTATTTCAATATCCATCTTTATTGCTAATTCAATCGCTTCAATAGTCACATGACTTTTGTGGCCATCCAAAAATAACAATACTTTTTTCCCATTCACTTTTGTACAAAACTCATTAAAATGATGTAAATAAGCAATAAAAATCTCTTGATCAATATATCCACTTTGACTACTTTGACAATGCACTTTTGTACCCAAAGGAAATTTAGATGCATCTGGAATCTTTGTTCCACTTTGCATGCATCTGGAATCTTTGAATCTCTCTTTGAATCTCTCTTTGAATCTCTGAAATGCTTTGCATGCATCTGGAATCTTTGTTCCACATATATCCACTTTGACACTTTGACAATGCACTTTTGTACCCAAAGGAAATTTAGATGCATCTGGAATCTTTGTTCCCTTAAATATGAAAAATGGTGGTAAGCTGTCTCCTTGTGCATTAACAGTGGCCAGGTATGTTGTTAGTGTGCCACGTTCACCAATAGTTAACTTTTGTACCTCATGAGAACCCTTTAATGCTATTACCTTAACAGAGACATTTGGCACAGATGAAAGGCCAGTTTCATCACAGTTATAAATCAAATTTGGATAATTTTTTATGTCAAGCTGTTCATAAAAAGGTTGTAAATCGTTAAAAAATGTCTGAACGTGATTCTCATTAAATGTTTCTGCTCTTGCTCGAGAAAGCCCTTCAGGAATTCTTAGTGTCAACTGAGTATGCTTTTTTCGGAATGAGAGAAACCAATCACGTGATGCCAAACATTTATTATGCCAACTTTTTGGAATGGACTTCTGTAATAAATGACGTCTACACAAGCTTTTGGCATAGAAATAAGCAGCAGATCTTAACCACATTATTGTGAGAGGAAACCCTCTATCAGCCATATATAGCAGCCTTTGAACAAGAGTTTCTTCTTGATTTTTAAAGAAAATTGTTTTACCACCTATAGAATGTGTTTAATGTTTTCCCCGTAATTTATCAATCAACGTTGTACGTGGAATATTAAATTAATTAGCTGCAGTTGATATAGTTTCTCCATCTATAATGGTTTGCAGAGCAGCCTGAAAAATTTCTGCATTATAATTTTTTTGTCGCTTTGGTTTATAATTACGTACCATCTATACATTTTAACATGAAAAATAATGTTATTAAAATCTACCATAAGTAATAATACATTCTTAGTTTTTTTTATATTGGTATATATATAAATAAATATATATATATATACAATATGTATATACATATATATATATATATATATATACACAAAAATATATATATATATATATATATATATATATATATATATATATATATATATATATATATATAAATGCTTTATATTTTCCAATGAATGATACATTTGTTTATAATAAATACTACAAAAAATACTTATAACAGATATTTTATACTGTACACACATTTTATACTATATACTTACTATTTACTTTTTACAATATATAATAGTTATACTAAATAGTATAATATTATATATATTTTTTAAAATAGAATAAGATCTTTGCTATATAATATATAATAAAAGTCTTATTTTAATGTAAAATTAGTAAATAATATTAACTATTCTAATAATATTTATTGAATTTCAATAATATTTTAACAATATTTAATACTAATACATATTTTAAATATGTATAAAAATAGGCAGTGGATAGCCTAAAAATATATAACATATATGTTTTATATACTTATTATTTACTGTATATATATTTCAGACTATACATTATAATAAGTTTGTTTACATGTTTCACATCAAAGTCGTGTTTATAATT